TTAATCTACTCGTTAGTAAAATTTTAAGTAGACGATTAAGTAGGTTATTGGATATTGAAATTAAATTTGATTTTTTTTTTTTTTGTAATTTTTAATGCTCTTAGTAGACGCAATTATTTAATAATCACTAATCTTTGTTAATTATTTAGCAACGTTATATTTAATAGTACAAGTCATATAACCACACAGATGAATGATTTCTTAATACCTTCGTAATTTCTTAAAAAACCTATATGTTCTAAATGAAGATTGTTTCTATATAAAATGATTCATAAAAACTTTCTGGTATAACAAATTAAATATTAATTTAGTACGATACTTTGCATAAATTTAAGCAAACAAATGTATAATATACGCTTATATATAACAAAAATAATATACTATATTTTATATTAATTATTACTAAATTATAATTAACAATACTTAACTAATTCTAAATATTGCAATATTTCATTCTCTTCTCAGCCTAAAGTCCAAAATGTAGTCGAGTTTGAAAAAGAGGACTTAATCAATAAAAATGATTTGATGATTTTGATGAAAAGTCAAGTCAATGACATTGGTTATCATGTGGTTAGTAATATTGTATGGTTGTGGTCAATAAAGAATATTTTTCTCATTAGATTTTTAATACGTGGTATATTTCATTTGACTTATTCACGATTTGCGCAAACGGAATGTATGCAATCTTTACTATCTTCATTTAAACTCGACTTCAATTAAAAACAGTAATCTTAGTTATGGATATACATCATGTAGTTCATAAGTTATCATATAAGTAATAGCAGTTCATTCAAAATTGTAGAATCTGCAAGAATTCTAGCTCCAACAATAGTAACTAATAAAACTTGAATTAAAAATAAAAGTTAAAAATCTCGTAGTCAAATCTCTGGAGCAAGATATCTACTATAAATGCTTCATCTAATAAATAAAATAATACATATTTCATATTAAATTTGGGTAGGGGAGACTTGGTATAGTTGTGCCAGGGTATTAACAGTCACCATAAGAGCTAAAATACTGATTTTGACATAGGGTCCAAAGAGAGATAGATGAAGTATGTTTGTTCGAGCAAGTTTCCATTATTGCATTGAGTCAGCGCTCTAAATTAACAAGATCTATAGACTAGATTTTTTTTAAAGGGCCAAAAAAAGTTTTTGTTGAATAATAATTTAATAATTCTTGTATAGGGATAAATCACTTGTTTGTTATTTTTCTGTAAATTAAACATCAGTAGATAATTACCAGCAATTTAGCATAGTTATAACGATGATTTGTTTCTAAAAAGGTTTTAAAAGGTACGTTGTGCTTTTCGAATGAAGATTAAACAGATAAGGAAAAATCTAACCTAATTAATTGTAAGACAAGATATGAAAAACAAAGGGAAAGCAAAATTCAATACAAGAAAAAAAATGACTGCTCAAAGAAAAGTGGCACAACCGTATCCAGTCTTACCCCAGTCATGAAGTACAATACATTTTGGCAAAAAATGACTAAACTTATACAACTAAAATTGTTGCAATTTAAGCTATAATACTGTAATCATTAAAAATATTTTTTTGAAAAATGTATAAATTTTTTTTACAAAATATGATAAGTCAACAAATTAAAAAAATAGTCTTAAAATTGCTTAAAAATATAGTTATTTCTTATCACAGATAAAACTAGATAGGTGGGTAGTAGTTAAATATATATATATATATATATATATATATATATATATATATATATATATTATCATGATATAGGATTAGGAATTAGTTTCCAAGGGATGAAAGTTACATTAGGATGATTTGCTAGCCAAATTCTCGTGCATTTACTTCCGCAAAACATTGCACTACATAATAAGTATGAATCGCCGAATAATCTTTTGACGGGCCTAAAATAAAAATATATTATTTTTTTCGACCACATTACATACATCTTTCCTTATTCTAATCAAAAACAATAAGAGAGAGGTGTGCAGTGAATAAATAATAATCCGGAATTATTTGAAAGTATTTATAGTATAAATTATTTATTTATATAATAAATTTTCTCCACAGTAGTCTATGATATTTGGCATCAATATGTGCAAATCATCATGTGCATACGTCTTAAAACTCGATTATTTTTAAGTAATATCTTTTTTAAGTCTTAAGTATACTTGAGAAAACCAAAAAGTATTTACAGATACATTGTTTTGTTTATTAAATTTGTTCAGATAACAAGCTCCAATTCTTATAAAACCCTATGATTATGTAGTTAAATTAAAATATGTCTTGTTTCATTCTTTACATAGGGTAGAACAAGGCACAAAGTCTAATTTGACTTTGAGCAATTATATTGTGAAAACCAAACCAATTGTATTATAACAAATAACACAAATCAAACAAACAACTATCTGACTGTTCAGAGGTTCAGCAAAAAATCTTAACAAATTCATCATTGCAAAAATGTGTTTTTCCTGTTTTTCAAAAATTTGTCACCTGATATTTTTCACCCCATAGGCAGAGTAAAATAGGATGGCCAGGGGGCAGCCGGTCCATATTTAATTTATAATTCTAAAAGAATTTTACGAAATAATAGCTACATTATTCAAGCAATCCAAATAATATAAATTTCATTGGTTAATTTTTTACAGACTTAGATCTAGTATTTCATCAGAAATGTTCATCAGCAGAGTTGGAATAATTATCTAAATAGTTTCTCTTATAAAATTGCTTTTTTATTTACTATTTTTTATAGTTTACACCTTTTCCAGGATAAAGAATTAGTTGGTCCTTTTTATTCCTGCGCTCATGATTAAGCTCTTATATAGTGGGTTTATAAAATCTAACAACCGAAGAATTTACTCTTGCTAAGGATTTCCAAGCATTACCGTTATATCTCCTGATAGCAACGTCGTATGAATCAATGTCATGACAGATTATACATCTTTTGCCCTCTACTTTCAAATATTGTTGTTAAAAATTTCTCATTTCACATGTTTTTGAAAAATCGGTGGTAGACCTATTTACCTGCGGACCTTTAAGCCCCGCTCTACCCTATAAAATTTGGCATATATTCAAATTTAATGAACTTGTCAGTACTTTAAAACGGTCATTTGCTTATCCCTAAAGTTACTCACTTGCAAGCACCTCCCTCCTATGTTAAAATTTCTCATTATCATACCTGTTTAAAAAGCAGAGCACTCCATACTCAAACAATCCAATTTTGCAGTTGTGGCAAACGGCATTCGGCCCTTCTTTTAACTGAGAACTCAGATGGAGAGGTAGTTCCTCAACATGCATTACTTCATGAGTCATTTTTATAAAACTTTTTCCGTTCACATAATAATGACCCTCCCCATCATAATCACTATCATAAAATTCATTATAATCTTCATCATCACAGTTTTCATTCTCATCCAGAAAGAAAGAGGTTTTGCTCAAAATAGCATGTGTTTTCCGCAAGGCCAATTCGAACAATGTTGGCATTTTTGGAGCAAAATATTGTGAAACATGTTTGATACCCGAATATAAATAAACATCGATTTCTGGTAAATTTTCAGTATTGACTACTTTTACATGGATTTGTCCTGGATGGAAAAATTCTGTCGAATCGTATGTCCTGAAATCAATTTGAAAATGCATCAGATTGACGTACCAGTGAAGGTAATACAAATATAATTGATTATATATTTCCAATTACCAAAATCGTGTGCTGATATGTGGATTGATATCAAATAGAGGTTCAAGAGTCAAGGGTACATGTTTCAGGGCAGGGTTCAGCTTGAAAATAATATTAGGCAGAGGATCAGCGGCCAATGGTAATGCTGGTAAGCAGCGCAAATCACAACCTGTTAATGTCCAAATTAATTAATTATTTCTCATATATACTAGTTGCACTAACTTCATATTTATGCACTTTCCAAAAAATTCACTATCAAATTCTTATAGATAACATTTAACATATTGTCTATTACTTAAATAGTTATAATGATAGTCATCACAAACCTAATAAAAACCTGGAGTTTAATAAACTCAATAAGTAATATGAAACTTTTCAAAATAATCAATTGTATCACGATTGGTTTAGCATGTATATAAAAACAAGAATTCGAATAACAATGCTGGTTGAAAACATGTTAATTTATTTCATTCATTCATTTTGTTAATTATCAAATAACAATTTGTTTTACATTATATTGATCATTAACTAAATTATTTTAAATATTTTACTGAAAGGTCTTTTTCTTCAAATACCAAACTTTTTTGAAATCTTATAAACAGTAAAGCTAATTAAAAATAGCTTTAGAGCTAAATAAAGAGTCAAAGATTTAAAAATGTTATACAAAAACTGTTAGTCATGTTCGAGTCATCGGTCAAGTAAAAAAATCAATTTCTTCATTAGAATCTTGAAAATGTTGTGCTAATTTCTTACTGATTTCAAGCTAAATAGCTATTGCAGGCTCTTATTATACTAAATAACTTATATATGGGTATATAAGAGATTGTATTGGCAGACTTGAGCGTATTTCTATCTTCATATTATTGAGTTCTTCATATGTAAAACTTCAACATTGTTAAATTTAAGGAGCAATCTTTTTTATTGCTATTAAAAAGATAAATCCGTTTTTATTGGGATGATCAATTAGAAAGACATTAGATTTTGGCTAGTTCACTTAGGCATCGAAATTCATCTTGCTTGTGTCACCCACTAACTAGCATAATATATTTTCAATACCATAATGTGAGTATTGTACCAATTTATCAAAAAAAAAGAAGGGGATCGAAATTATCCCAAAAGACAACCTCTTGGTATATTTCTTCTTACAACACTTGGAGTATCCAGAAATTGCCGATGGTAACTAATAATTTGTAAATAAAGACCGCATAATAATAACCAAATCAGATCTAATTATCAGTTACTAGATAATTTTTATTATTTAAAATTTTATAAATTTAAAATATTAACTTTTTTTAAAAAAAATCTATTTTATCAGCATTGAAGAGAGAAATCCAATTTTATGGATTTGATCAATTATACAAAAATATTAAGTTTTAGCAAGTTCACTTTGAAGCCAAAACTCATCTTTGATGTTTTACCACTAACTAGTAAAGAATATACATATTACCATAATTATGCCATAATGAGTATTGTACGGTCCAATTTATAAAAAAAACGAAAAGTTTAACACTTTTTTTTCAAATTACAAAGAAACGGCTCGGCAGATCGTCTCACAAAACTGACAAACTATAGCTCTCATTAAGATACATCAAATGACTTTTAAATTTATGAAATCGGTTCAGGCGTTTTTGAGAAAACGTCGATGAAAGTTCTAATTTTGACAAACTTCAGAAAAACGATACTAAATTTTGCAAACTTTGACGAATTTTCGAATTGTCGTAGGGCCGTAATATTTCAGTATGATCTATAAGACTATGGTATCTACAATAAAAAAAAATTATAAAAATCGAGGAAAAAAAATTTTTGACACCAAAAACTAATCAGATCGATTCCCAACTAATATCTATCGAACGGTTTTTGAATTTACAAATTCACATATATTTTACACACACACACACATATTTTTTCCAAATTTAGTCTCATTCGATTCAGAAAGGCTTGAAACGTCGAGAAAATATAAAATTAGCGAATCGCATTTTTTGATGAAAACATAAACTTCTCCTTCGGGAAGTTAAAACTTGTTCCAGCTGATAAAATTATTCTTAAGACACTTGAATGTATCCAGAAATAGCCGCGGTGGTAACATTATTTTCCACTAAAGACTGGACAACAATAAACACATCATGAGTACATTACAAAATCAGAATTATCGGTTACTGACTAAATTTCTATATACTATGTGACTAAATTTATATTTTCTAAAATCAGTAATCTATCTAATCTATGATGTTATCAATTATCAAGAGGTCCGATAATCCAAATTTAATTCGTTAAGTGACCATGTTAATTAATGCCTTAGGATATCTAAAGTTCAGTTTAAAGTAAAGTTTGACTTACAATTTGCGCTCAATTCCCTCAGACGTGGTAAGGAAAACACGGAAGGTGGCAATTCGAACAGTGGATTGCTGTCGACGGAAAGTTCTTCCAAGTTTCGAAGCTCACCGACACTCGGAGGCAGGCACTTTATGCCATTGTAACTCACGTCCAAACGTCGCAGAGATCGTAACTGTGTGAAATCTGTGGACAAGAAAGAACATTATAGAACAGCTTAAGGATTTTAGAATTTTTAAATTACAAATTTACTAAGGTTTTTGAGTTCATGTTTGAAGATAAGAGAAAAATATTTTGTTAGAAACCCTATCATTCTGCTGAATTCGCGAATGAATTAATTTCACGTCCAAATATTTTTTCAAAAAATAATCTAGAAAGCAAACTATAAGCTATAAGGATATGAAATAATAAGACAAAATACAAGAAATACTTAATTTTCCTGATATTTTATTTCAACAGCACTTTAATCATTTCAAGATTTCTTTGCATACATTTTTTATTATTAATTTTTTAAACATCGATCAGAACTTTAAGAGATTTATGAATTGTTGTCATGAAAATGATTACACCGACCACAAAATAAAAAAGTTGCCTGCATTAGGTATGCAGCATATGTTTTCTAATGTATTTTTTACCACTGCACACGAATCTAAAGTCAAAATTGGGGGTCAAATCGCAAAATTAGAAAAATAACAAACATTCCAATCAATTTCTCTGCTTAATACTTAACTGCCTAAAAATGTCAAACATATACCACATACCCAATTCAGACAACTTTTTTTTATTTTGTGGACCTATCACCTATGTTATTATTACAATTATTGTAATGGTCTTCAATTATTGTAATAGTCTACAATGTCTATTAATTGATGCATCAATATCGGATAAGGGCTATTTTCACTTGAAAAGTATTACGATCTATATTTCCAAGTGAAACCCGATGTTACTACTGCTTGACAACAGTCAAGCTCTAGCTATTTTCCTACAAGCCTTTTTGCACAAACAGCCTACAATTTTGAGTATTTGCGATTTCCAAGTATCACGAAGATTGAATAAAAAAAAATTATCATATATAATGTTGTAATCGAGTGTTAAGATTATAAATATCAGTGGACGTAAACCTAGAAATACAATTTTGGTAATCGATACCATATATCATATTTAATCGATATGAGCAAAGAAATAATAAGTAACAACCCTAAACTTATTCCTGAAAACAGATACACAAATGCAAATTTATTATTTAAAATACCATATTTAATGTATTTAAACATTATATTAAACTACTGTTATATTACTAACTTTGAGAAGACAAAAGGTAAAAGTTTATGTTTGCCCAAAAATCATATTTTCCAATTTCATCATTCTTTGATGTTTCAAGTCATTTTGAATATTTGATAGTAAGAAGTTTGTAAAAGTCAGCATTTCAAAAAGTTAAAGCCATTTGAAAAAAATCAACTAGGGCTCGCATTGAGCAGCTTTCAATTTTAGAATAAGAGTAGAAATACGTCTAAGACGGTCAAAGTATGGCCAAAGTAGTTTCTATGCTGTTAGCTCAAATCATTTTATTACATTACAATTTAGAAAAATATTTTACTAATTTCAATTATGATTTATGATTATTAATAACTTGTTTGAGAATTGAAGAATCTGTTCCTTTCTGTTCGCACTGTATTTTTATTCAAATTAAGAGTTAACAGTTTTTCTTTGACCTATAGTGAAACAATCAAAACTATATGGCAAATCATATCCTCGTAAGTAATGTCCTAAATAAAAATTATTATATTAAAAATATTGTATAGCTAGTGTCTCCTACTTATGTGCCAATCGCCAGGCTGTATTTTGTGTTTTCTATTAGATTTTCTTCAACCGAATTTTCAAAACATTATTATACATTTATTTAAAATACGCATTTTAATCATGCAGTCTGTCTAAGAGCTGAATGACACTTTGCTCAGATATAATTTACATTAAAAAATTTAAACACATTTAAATTTAAAATATCTTTATTTGCAAAAGATCAAGTCAAAAGATATTATAATCTCCAAAAAAAGATACATACAGCCAAAATGAAAAATATTTATTTGCATAGATGCCTGGAAATAGTTAAACTAGATCATCGGTCCAAAAGCTCAATCCTTTAATGATCAATTAAATTTATTACATGTTTGTTATTTTACATACTGTGGCATGGGTTTAGGTTTACGTTTTACTTGAGATAACATAATTTCGTGCTTGCGTCTTAATTAAGAGAAACATTACTTCAGAATGTTTATTGATGTAAAATTCCAATAATATTATGTCATGATGCTTTATTTACCCAGGCTGAATAAGCACACATTTTGTAGAAGGAGGAGCGTCTTAATTAATAATGCACAGGAATCAAAAAATTAAATTAGACTTAGAGTAATAATAAAAAGTTGTAAGTTGCATTTTGCCTTGAGACAAGTTGCATGAACTTTCCAATAAGTGTATATAATCGATTTATTAATAATATTTTTTTTATTTATAGATGATCTGCATCTGCTGATCTGCCTGTCTACATGTCTACCTGTCTTCCTGTCCACCTGTCTACTTATCTACATTTATTACCGTTCGCCTGTTTACCTGTATATCTTTATATTTTTCCATTTAGTATGTTGGCTCGCCCGTAGGTAAGCGGTTAAGAGCAACGGGACCTGAATCAGAGGTCCCGGGTTCGATACCCACTTCGAGCAGCCTGTTGTCAGGCAGCAGTGACAACGATTTTCACTTAGAAATATGGATAGTAATATGTTTCCAAGTGAAAATAGCCCTTGCCCAGCATTGCTGCACCGATAACAAACAGTCCTATTAGATTAATTCTAATAACAAAATCATCAAATATGGATGAATTTAACCATTGGGTTATCATCTAAAAAATACGAAGTAAGGACAAGTATCAGACCAACAGCTCATAGGACGTAAGGTTCTGATTGCTGTTAAAAATATATAAAAAAAACTTAGTATGTTTATTTGTCTATCTGTCTACCTGTTTACCCGTCCGTCTATTACCTGTCTAAGTGTCAATGTCTCTGCATTTATACCAGTCATCCTACCAATATATCTACCTTTCTGCTTTTACCCGTTAACATGTCTACCTGTTTACCTGTCTACTTCTCCTCCGGTTCAGTTGTTTATCTGTCTATCTGGCTGCATGTCTACCTGCCTGTTTACTTTTAATATACTATTCTACTTTACTATCCTTTTACCTGTCTACTCTACCTAGTTACTCGTTTACCTTTCTACGTTCATACATCCCTCGCTGTTTGCCTATCTACCTGACTACATGTCCTATCTGTCTACCTGTCTACCTGTATGTCAATAATTATATTTGTAAACGAATCAATAATAAATGATTTGTATTGATTTGAAAAGCTGCCCCTGTAATTGTTACACAAAATGTTTCAAGATATTTCTATCATTATTGATATAGGGCTCGCCCGTAGGTAAGCGGTTAAGAGCGACGGGCCCTGAATTAGAGGTCCCGGGTTCGATAACCACTTCGAGCAGCCTGTTGTCAGGCAGCAGTGACAACGACTTTCACTTGGAAATTAAATAGCAATATATTTCCAAGTGAAAATAGCCCTTGCCCGGCAATGCTGCACCAATAAAAAAAAAGTCAGCCCTATTAGATTAAATCTAATAACAAAAAATAATCAAATATGAATGGATTAACCATTGAGTTACCATCTAAAAGAAAGGAGTAGTTTCAGCCCAACAGCTAAAGGACGTAAGGTTCTGATTTCTGTTAAAATATATAAAAAAAATTGATATAAATGTATTTAAGCTGATGGCTGGTAAAACAACAATAACAAAAAAGAACTATCAATGATTTTACTCAGAGTTATAAATATTTAAGCAAAATTCGACACATTGGATGTCTTCTAAAGTTCGTACTCGTACACACAGCTAGTCGAGTGACGCTCGTAGCGAAAAGGTTACTAGGCTATTAGAACGATCAGTCGGCCTTTTTTTATACTTTGTTTTATTATATTGATGTAATAAAACTTTTAATATTGCTTTATTTTTAGTAAGCTTTTACGACGTTGCCGCAGCAATATCGCATAAAATTATGAATATAAAACTTTAAACACGATTACGTAATATATGCATAAATGTGCAAACATCTTAAGTATAAACAACTTCGATAAACGGCCATTTGTTTACTCCACCATGATATTAATCAGGATTAAGTTCGTCATCGATAAAATTGCAATAACTATGAATATGGAAATATAAAATATATAACACGATACGAGAATACCTAAGTAATTAGAACACTTTTGATTACATTAATATTATAAACAGTGAAAATACTGCCTACATCAATCGTTCGTCAGGTGAATTTCTCAAACAGGTAAAGGTGATAATCAGAGTGAGACTAATTATAAGTTATGCATGCACTATGAGAATTGTTAAAAGAAATTGTAATGAATCACTTTGAACAAATGCGCGGTGTTTGATTACTGGTAAGTGTGTGCATTTCTTTTTTATATTTATTTTTTCTCTCTAAAAATAGGTGAAACTAGTGGTGTATGGCATCGTGCCTTAAGGCAAATTGCTGGAACTTTCCGTACCAAAAACTAAATTTAAAAAAAAACTATGCAAAACTTTGAAAAAATTAGATTGTCGAGAAATTGTAAAATTTTTGAAAAAAATTGACTTTTTTGAAAATGTTGATTGTTTTTATATTTTGATTTTTTTTGTATTATGATTTTTTTTGAAAATATTGAACATTTTTTAGGCAATGGCGCTGCATAGCTGATTTGGAGTCAAAACATCAAAGCGCCTAAGCGCCGGTAGTCATCTAACGTGTAAACATTGGTACGGAATCCATATAAATGTACACAAAATTTGTACTTATTATTATAATTTTAATAAAATATGTGATAATATGATGTACATATGTCTAATGATCATTTTGGCATTATTTTTTACTTTTTTCATTGGATCTACGGAGACGCTAGGCCTGTATATACACAAATTTCGCCAGTTGTTGATTTCGTCAAGACAAGTAAAATAATTTTTGCCCCGTATCTCCGAAACGGCAGGACCTGCCTTTCAGTAGGAATCGAATTATTCAAATCGGTTGATCCGTATTCGCAAAATAGTCTACGAAAATTTGTATCCGCACACACACAGACACACACACATACTTACATACACACATACATCCTTTTTTGTAAGGTATGCCAAAATGTTCAGAAACCCTTGAAGTGTAAAGATATATAAAACATTTTATTTTCCATTTTTTTGCGATTACTATAACTTACCCTACGGAAAGTTGATAAACGAGCTGGATTATTAATTATAAAGTAATATTTATACACAAAAGGATTTTTAATACGAAATATCAGCCAAAGTCAACAAAACCTATTTTGCGAAGGGAAACATTAATAATAGGGTAGAGCGGGGCTTAAAGGTCCGCGGGTAAAAAAGCTTACCATAATTATCTCAAAAACAAGTAAAGTATTGAATTTTTCAATGTACTATTTTAAAGTAGAAGGCAAAAAATGTGTAACCAACCATCACCTGAAGTTGCCTTCAATCTTTCTTCCTAATCTCCATAAAATAAAAATTCGTAAAATTGATAAACCTATAATTAACAATCGATCACAACAGTAGTAATACACCCATTATCGCTTATTTTAAGCTCTATAAACAAATAATGTTATTATTTCAGAAAATCTAAGCCATTCGATAAGTTCTTCAATTACTCAATTATCGCAGACAATTAGTTCAATCAATTTCATATGCAATCACATTTCTATTTGAGGATATAAAATATTTTCATCAAGCAATGTTGCAAATTTCAAATTGTTTGTAAAATTTCAGATATATCCACTTATAATTTTATATAAATTATTTAATAGATCACTGGTCATATTGTTGGATTTAAGTTTCACAAAAATGGAAAATTCTGCACTATACATTTTTAAATTTGTATATTTCACTTAAATTTTGTGAAAGTTACTTTTTCATTGTTTATAGTAACTGCTAAAAATAACACATTATCTAATTAATTATGGTACTGTATAATACTACAAAGAAACCCATTATATAAATTCGTTAATTGCTATACTTCGTTGTAAAATGTTATCACATTTTAATAATTCACTATTAAATTAATCTCTTTGCAAAACAATTTTCTAAAGTAAATTTATCAATCAGATTATTATATAGAGTACGAAAAGCATCTACAACAAACTTCAGAATAAAATTGCTGCTAAAAATGAAAAATTTGATAGAATATGAAAAGAAATAAAGAAGTTATATTTGGAACTAAGTAAGAAGTTACACGAATCAATAAAAATATGAACGTATATGCATTGTGTAGATTAAATGTGAAAAAACTTGTGTTAATATTATTTTCTGTATCATTATTTTTAAAAATTTGAGTTTGTTTATAATTTAAAACTGATGCAACTTTCTACCATTTAAACCCAAATATTTAGGATACGATACATGTATGTTCAAACTAAAGTGAAATATAGTGTTTTTTATTGGGCTTTTTATTTCATTTTTATATTGGGCAATATATTAATTTCCCGCAGGGTAAGTTATTGTAATCGTCCAAAAATCGAAATTGAAAATTTTTGCATTTCTTCACGTTTTGAAGGTTTCTGAACATTTTGGCATACCTCAGAAAAAAGGGATGTTTGTGTGTGTATGGATACCGATTCAGATGGTTCAAAAAACATTAGATTCCTATTGATAAGGAGATGTGCTAATTAGTTTTCTGTCAACATATATTAGTTACAGTATTTATAATAATCTATTTGAAAGCATTTAATATTCCTAGAATATTTCATAACGTATGGGAAGTTCCAGCAATTTGCCTTAAGACACGTTGCCATGCACCCCTAGTTAGTTAAAAAACAAACAAGTATGTGTTTAGTTAGAAAATTATAAGAAAACAAGCATTCTCAGCCTGCGAAGTTTGTATATTTTTTAAAATGGCAATAAGCCAAGTAAAAAATTTATGTATCTGGATCTTTGATTAGACATTCGAAACATTCGAAAAGCCTAGTTCTATTAAAACAATCGACTAGAATACACAAAACATGTTGATAGATCAAATGTAGATGTCTTTGCTGGTGTTTTCATAATGTTTCTCACAAAGACACTTTACCTCTAATAGCACTATTTTTAGTTTGATTTAAAAAAAATTTAATTACTCACCAGGCAAATTGGTCAAGTTATTATCAGTAATGATTAAATTCGTCAAACTGTGTAAAGATTTGATCTCTTGAGGAAGTTTGCTCAAACTGTTACTACTTAAGTTCAGATCAGTCAGGTGCGATAAGGTGCCAATTTCTTCCGGAATATCCCGCAAATTATTATTATCCAAATAAAGTGCACTCAAATTCCTTAAATACGTGATCCATGGCGGCAAAGTTTGAATTCTATTATGTTGTAAATGCATTTCCCTCACGCTACTGCCATAATGTTCCAATTCACTTGGCAACTCCATAATTCCATGATGATTCCAGTTAATGATCGCGTTTGTGGACCAGTTTTCCATGATTTCGGATTAGCAGGTTGCAAATTGGAAGTTTGCAGTTTGAAGTTCTTAGCTGGAGTTTACAACTGGATATCTGATCCTGAAATTGTGTATTTCTGGGCTCATCACATCAAAAGACAAGAACGCACTGCCAAGTTATTTTTAACGCGCGCGTTTATTAGTAGAACGTGAATGCTATACACTGATTGAGATGCATTTTTGATAGTTGCCAGTCTTACAATCATTTTGTAGGTGGAAAAGAAACATTAGAGCTAAAAAAACGTTCAATTTAGAAAAAAATAGTTTTTTTGTGACATTTTGTAAAACGTCATATTTTAAAATTTAAAAAAAATATTGATATCATTGGATTCATAGCTTGAAAATTGTTAACAAAAAACTGTGTTTATAAGGTACAAATCTATCTACACTCAGTACTTGTGCAACACTTGCAAATTTAGATAATTTGCAAATTTGCAATTCAGTTTAATTTTTACGCTGAATAATATTGACAAATTATAGTAATCATATAGTTGTATTACAATTAGAATTGACAATAATACAATCGTATTTAAATAGTGATCAATAGAAATCGTATTTGAAGAGTCCAACTCGCAATTGACTTAATTTTGTCATTCTATATAAGAAAATATGGGAGTCATATATTGTTGTCTCAGAGTTGACAATAATACAAGTACGATAAAAACCTTATTAAACGAGTCCGACTCGAAACTGACTATTTTTTATTCTACTTGAGAAAGTATAGTAGTCATATATTGATACGAGTCCGACTCACAACTGACTAAATTTTTATATTCCACAGCATGCCGCCAGAAAACCTCTCGGAGAGGGTTGTCAACAACGACTGGCGCCCCCATATCAGATCAGAAGGGGTATGGATTAAAGAACTTCCAGGACCACCAGGCTGTCTCAAGCCCTGGTACAAAGGACTACCCTGGCACGAACGATTGTCCAATCATCATACATTGGCCAGCATAAGGCAATGCGCTATTTTCGTTCCCAAGCGGTGAGAATTAAATATTTTGCCTGTGATTTATGAAACAACATAGACGTCTCGTTAATTGCCGCTTTGTTAGGAGTAAAATTGAGACGAATTTGCTTGACTTCTAAACCGAAAGGTTTACATCAATATAATAGCAGCATATGCATAGAAAAATTATAGCATTTTTACTACTAATGCCACGAACTTCCACAATCCAAAAGAGAGCATACAATTCCAAAGTTTAAATTTTAGCATTAGATTTATATCACTTCATTCAACAAGTCCATAGGAGAGTTGAGAAAAACAAATTTTTTTTTGGCAAAATTCTATTTTTTATTATTTTTTGTTAGATATAGTTTTCTTCGAAGACGATATACCGATTATAGCGAACTTCAAACTTGTCAAAGCCATTTTTGTTGTACGATTTGCACTTTGCTACAAAATTCGGCTATCATATCATCATTTGGCAAAAATTTCTTCACAGCGAGCTTTCTTTTGAGACCTGAGAAAAGGATATGGTCGCTGTGGAACAGATCTAAAAAATATAGAGAATGGGGAACCAAATTGGAGCCCAAATCATGTTTTTTCGCCACTGTGTTCACGGATTTGTGACTTGGTGCGTTGTCCTGATGGAGTAGCACTGTTTTTCTTTTTCTTTTTCTTTCTTCGGAGTAAAGTGGCGAAGCCAGGTCACATCCATGGTAACATATTGATGCAAAACCTCAGTTTTATCTTGATTAACCAGCTCCAAATACTCTTATGAATCATCAACTAGTTATGCTTTTGGTCTAATGTAAGTTCGCGCGGCACCCATTTAGCACAGAGATTTTTCCAATCCAAATATTTGCGAACAATATGTCCAACATATTCTATTGATACCTTTAGAGTGGCAGCTGTCTCAGACATTTTCACTTTTCGGTTTACCAAAACGATTCGGTGGACTTTTTATATTTTCCAGTGTAACCATCACAATTGTCCTTTCAGAGCGTTCAGCACCATCATTTCCCATATGATTAAAATCAGCAAACCACTTTTTCTCCGATTGCCTCGACTTGGCAAGGTCCAGATAACACTTATCAAACGATACTTTGGCTGTGTTGGTATTTTTACCTATCAAAAATCAATCATAAATTAACACACGAAATTGCTTTGAATTCATGGTTTCAATGAAAAACGAAAGTGGCATCACTTGAACCTCTGTAACTTGTAAACTAATCGTCGGATTGTAATTAAATTTTTACATATATCTTCTTAAAGTTATTTCTTCCTACAAATCATATGGATGATTGCATAGCTACATCATCTATATGTTATCCTACGGACTTATTGAGTGACGATATTCTAGTTATCATGAGTTGTAACAAGTCGTTAATTTATTTTATCCATTTTTCGTTCTCTTAGAGTCCCACTTGACAGCTTAGACAATAAAATGATGTCAAACTACAACCATAGTTTGGAATTGTTTCCTGATCCTGTAGATATAGTCCTGCAACAGGACACCATTAGCAATGTGGCCGAATTGGCACCACCATGCGTGGAGTATGGCGATAATTATACAAATGCAAGAGGGAAACCGTGGAGGAGATTGACAAACACCAGGGAACTGAAACGGGAACGAATTATTGCTTTGGTAAAATTGAAAATGGATTTTTCAATGTACAAATAATTTAATAATTAAATGCTATAAAGCAGATTATGGTAGGACTCTTTCAAACATGAAGAAGTAATAAACATATATATATAAATAATTTTTAAGTTACACAATCAACTCCAGCATAAAGAAATTATGTTTATAAGTCAGATTAAAACTTTTCACCAACTTCAGTCCACCATCTGTCCTAGTAGTACCACCATCAGTCCTAGCAATAGAAAGCAGTAAAAAGCTCATTTTAAAATCATTCCTATTATAATCTACTTTTCCTTCACTTTCTGCAGTACTTCCATTTTAGTTACTTTGCCAACTCAATTTATCTCCTCCATATCATTTTCCAGCACCTTTCACATATTGGCCGTCCTTAGACCAGGCCTATGAGTCATAGAATCAGATTCCAATAAAATATTAAGTTTAAGCCCCGTTTTTCAGGCAGACTCATAATTATATAATGATTGATTAATTTATTATTTTTACAGGGGCATCCACTTCAAATAGCAGGACTAAAAGAAAAGATGTCGCCACATCAAGTAAAGTTGATGAACAGTGGACACCATTCACCACTTACTAATCCAGGATATTCTAGACAACCGGCCGATGGTACAGTTTTCCGCTATTGACTTCTAATAACAATATATCTAAATTTCTGATAATTGTACTTTAAATACTAGACAATATAAATCATGGTTCAAACGATTATAATAATAAAGTTATAAATAATTAGTGTATGGTATTATCATGCATTTTGTATAAATAATTTACATACGTAAATGAATGTACATATTTATCATTGGATCACCAATTGAAAATAGAAAAATTTAGTTGTAATACAAGTTCATTAGATCTATACATTCCGATCTATATTTAGTAAAATTTAAAAAAAATATTTATGCGAACAATTGGACTAATACATAATAATATGAAAAAAGTTTTTATTCAGGTTTCCACACAATAATTAAAAGCAGAAACTTAGGTTTAATAAATTTAATAAATCCTGAAGACGTTTCGAGTTTTTATTTGTGTAGTCTCCGGTGCGAATACACAAAAATAATTTAAAAATTGTGGAAAACATACTCCTGAAATGATGTTAAAAAATAAATGACCTAAAAATAAACGGCGATATTGAGTTATAAATGCAATTCAAAAATATATTATTTCAAATCGTGTTTGAAAATGTCAAACGAAAAAATGTTATGTGGATAAAAGATGCAGAACATATATACATAGTTAAGTTTATACATATAATTTTTTCGAGATTTTCCAGTTGTACCTGCAACTCGCCTGTAGGCCACACCGTGCGGAATTCGAAGTTGCGATTTATAGGAAAAGAACTAAGAATTTTGAAACATTTCTAACGATGTATTATACTTTATATGGTTTCTTTAGAGAAAAATGGAATAGAATGACTTGTTGCTTAAACCTAACCGTACTTTGCATTTGAACATTTGAATATTCACACAAATTCCAACCTACAGGTTAAACCGTAATTTTTAGACATATTCGAAACCAGTAAAAACTAAAAAATAAACTTATAAGAAATATCATTGATTGCTATAATTCATTTATTAATTTCTGTAGTTAATAACCACAACATATTTGTTTTAAATATTTAGTTGTTAAACATTAAGTTCAAGAGTTAATATATCAATTGTTTGAGGCCTTTATAAATGGATAGCATGTTTCATGAATGAAAAAAAGTAAGAAAAATGAGTAAAGTACAAAAAAATCATTTTATCGACCTGAATAAATTTAAACAACAATCATATGAAATATTGGACTAATTTTTTTTTTTTAATATTTTTGTAATTAGGTTTGTAGAAAACAAGTGAGAGAATTATTGATGAAAAGTCTTTTCAATGTACAAATTACAAATATGAATATATCATATACACAAATAATTTTTGCACACATCTATTTTTATTGTTCGTTAATCTAATAGAGCGATAAAATTATAATAACTTAATATATAATAATGTTTTGAAATACTGATTTATTATCTCATCTTGATATTGATATGATATCTTTGTTTAGAGTATTATTCATATATTTTATCATTAAGATTATGATTACAATATCAAAACAACGTTACATATCCTATTGTGCGCAAACAAGGCTTTTATACATACGATAAAACACATACGACAAATTAATGTGTTATATTTAATGAGTGTTTTGCTGTTTAATTATCGTATTAAACTGATATAGTGCTAATAAATTATTTGAAATATATTGTGTGTAAACATAAATTGTTGCAGAACACTTTGGTAAGCGGTAAGTTGATCTAAATTATAAACAAAATCAAATTTTTAATTCATAGGATTGCAAATTTATTGTTTAAGCAATAAATTCACACACATCATGTCATTATTCATAATTCATATTATTCATCATTAGTTGAAACTATAAGTTATCTACAGACGAATTATAAATAATTTCTAATAAATAAACGCCATTTAAAATAATTTCTACTGAGTTTCCCATGAGTTTATCATAGTGGGAAGTATTTACAATGACAGTTTTGAGCTTCATAATTTGCAATCATTATTAAAGTAATAAAAGTGTATTAATAGTGTGTGAAATTATGCCTATTGACAAATTATCAAAACTCGCCAAATGTAAATAAAGCTGTTCAAATGAATTTAATCACCAAACAAAAATATAGTACTCCAAAATAATGATATGAGAAGTGAAGCCGTAACAAATTATATGCCAAAAAATGAAAGCAAAGCCCGAAACAAAATTGATGTCTTCCAAATTTTGGAAATAATTGTTATAAAATTATTGAAATATTGAAACTATTGAAATGTTTGAAAACTTGATATGAATGTCCTGATAATGTGGCATTCGATTTTCAAAACGACTCTAAACCTCCTAAATATGCATAATTTTCAAGGAAACTGCTTTATAGCTTTTTATATCAAAAGCAAGTCCAGAAGATTCGGAGATACCGAGCTAAACGTGCAAAAAATTAGTTAGTTTTGAAAAAAAAATTTGAATATCAAAAATGATTAGAATTTTAATTTTTTTCTCGCTAAATAATTTTAACTTTGCAATTCAGTTTATATAATTCTTATAAATATTAGACTTGTGTCCTTAATTTTAAATTCAATTGATGTATTGTTTATTTAGTTTTCTGTAAACAAATATAAGTTACAGTATTTGAAAAAATAATCTATTGAAAACATTTAATATTCCTCGAATATTTCATTGCGGTACGGGAAGTTCCAGCAATTCGCCTTAAAACGCGATGCCATTCATCATTAGTTTATTTAATTAAGATAGTTTCTGATTTATTTTCAAAACCTTGTGTTATTCATGTAAAATACATAATTGAGTTAAAATTATGTAGCAGTTGATATATTTTTTATCATCTTTGATCTAATAATATAAAGTAATTAAGACCAGTTGATATCTTTTTATCATCTTTTTTATCATCCGTAATACCAAATATTTCGATATTAAATTATGTAATTTATTATTTTAATAAAACCATTCATTAAAATAATGTAATAAGATTTATAAATATTTGAACCCTTTTCACATCTAACTATTTTATAAACAATATTATATATCTTAACTGCATAAAAGCTCAAGTTGATTAATTTTGGATCATTTGCAGGTGAAAAGTACTTCAGAATTTTATTATACATAACCAAATATGTTAAAATGGTTATATATCATCGCTTTTGTAATCTTGTTAGAACAAAATGCGATCAATGCACAGTTTGATGCTCATCATGTACCAGGACGATCAGGAATCGTTCATTTATTCGAATGGACATGGCGCGATGTTGCAGCAGAATGCGAGAGATTTTTGGCACCTAATGGTTTTGCTGGTGTCCAAGTATGTATTTGTAATAAATTAAGGAATCGTACGTTAGATTTTCGTAATTCTTACATATCAAGTTACATATCAGTGCTATCACAATATTCACATATTGTTATGTTTCAAATAATATCCCAGTGGATTCGTAGTCGTACTCATGCCCTGGGCATCTTATCCGATATAAGAAATTGAAAAAGATATATATCTCTAAGATTTTTATCTTATTGAGACCAAAGTCAAATGATTACTTATAGGTTTTATCAATTAAATTACAATATAGGTTTCATCCATAAAATAATCGAGCCGCGAATATAATATTCAAGATTGAATTTGAGTGTATTCTACGATGATGCTTTCTAAAAATATGAATAAACAAACTACCAATACGATTGGAAATTATATATTTTAACTAACAAAAACTACTGAATAAGGTTGAATAGAAAATCGCCACTGAATGATCTAGGTCGAGAATTTAGTTCTCGAGAAGGGTCAATTAATTAAAAAAAAATTATTTATAGTCAATAAAATATCCTTCTAATTTATTCATTTAATGGTCTATTGAGTTGATTTTTCAACATCTCATTATAAATATAATTAAGGTGGCCATATTTTTTTTGTAAATCAAAACCTGGACGGCAATTTTTAGTTATGCTAATCCAGGACGAAGGGTATATAATAAAGAATTGCGGACTTTTAGTAAGAACTTTAGTATTCAATTATATGCAATACTTTTTTATCTATGATATTATATCTTATATGAATTTATATGTTTTTTGCGCTTTTGAGCCTTGTATAATATTCTATTCAATTTTATTCATAAATAATTTAGAAAATTAACACTTGTTTATTTGTTTTCATAGTTTTTGTTAATTGATCTGTTAAATTCTGAAAAACCGGGACAATCCGAGACAAAAGATCTAAATCCGATACAAATAATGCTTTTAAAAAAACCCGGGACACAAGGTGAAAATCGGAGACTGTCCCGGTCAAACCAGGACCTATGGTCACCTTAATATAATATCTTTTATACAGCTTGCATCAGTAAATCATGATATTTGCTAATATTCCTACACTGGACAGTTGCAAATCTATTGATGAAAATTAAAATAACTATTATATTTGGCAGGTGTCGCCAGTTAACGAAAATATAGTTATTGAAAATAGACCATGGTGGGAACGATATCAGCCAATTTCGTACAAAATAGTAACACGTTCTGGAAATGAAGGAGATTTTGCTGATATGGTCAGGCGATGTAATCAAGTAGGAGTAAGGTATGTGGAGATCATTTACAAATAAATCACGAAAAAAATATTTATAGTAATACTTTTTATCTGTCTTTATTTTATATAAATGGAATTCATACTAAGCAGTCGCATATATATATAAATCCTATAAAATAAATTAATATTGAAAATCATCGCAAGAGCTTAAAGAACACTGAGAAAAGTTTTGAGTTCTATTATTATCACTATAAAAAAATTAAATTCACATTTTTTTCGCTAGCTTCTGTATTTTTTAAATTTGTTGTATGTTCAGTAATTCAGTAATTAAGAACATATCCCAAAAATATTTTTTCAGTAAAAAATGGATTGAAGATAGAAAATGCCCAAATTTTGGTTCTGTTCAAGTTTTGTTTTAAACTTTCTAGCTTCCATAGCTTCACAATTCATAAAAATAATTTTACCTTAATTACCTTATTTAACTTATCTTAATCTTTTATTAGAATTTATGTAGATGTGGTTATTAATCACATGTGCGGAAACCATGGCCATGCCACTGGAACTGGAGGAGGT